GTTTTCCTAGGTTGAGCACAAGTTTAGCCAAACAGCACACATTTAATTGAAAGCATGCCTGACTCTTGGTCCATTCTTTCTTTTCATTGTTAAAGTGTCCTACAGACAAAGTGACACCTCTGATACCTAGAATTACCACCACCAAAATTTTGCACTGCTAAAAATGCACAGAATTGTGGGGGAACTGCCCTTGTCATTTGCTAAGTTACACAAACGCGTATGCTGCTGAGCATTAAGAAACATCTCTCTTCAAAAGAGGACAATCTCCAGTACAGGGAAAAACAAAACTGCACTATTTTTTTCTTCACAAATGATAGAATAAGATTAGCCCAATGATTTTTTATTTAACATAATTGGACACATTGTTAATATTTGGAGACTATCTTATTCTATGTTATTTGCTATAATAATTGCAGAAATAACTGCAACTAATAAAAAATTCCAAAATATCGATGAAGAAAGTTATCATAGTTGTAGGCTTTTCATTTCCTATTTTTAAAATAAGATCTTAACAGGAAGAATTATTTAACTGTGAAGAAAAGAATATTAAGAAGCAGCTAGTCAAAATTTCTTTATTTTTCAGATGAGAAAACTGTGATCCAGAGAAGGGGACTTGATGATGCCAATGATGAAACCGAATGAGAACTCGCATTTCCTGATTTTTTGTGCTTTATTTCATCACACGCATGAAACAAGATAAGAAACGTTCAGCGTTCAGTAGGGGGGACCACCCTGAGATTAGTTTGTCAATTGCCATATAAATATGTTTTTGCTCAGTATATCTGTGCAAACCAATAAGTACTCCACATACTAAAGGTACATGATAATTATGACTGGAGGGCAATAAAAAGACTCATTGGTTTGTGATTAAACATTTCACATAGTAGGAGGTGGTTGGATATTATTGAAATATATTTAAATATGGATATTATTTAAATATTTAAAACAAATATAAAATTGATTTCAAACTAAAGCATGAGTATTTTAACAAATATATCAAATATCAGAGAGGAAGGAGGAAGGATTTTAGAACAATGAACTTGGAAAATATGGCTATTTTTGACATGTTTTCACATTCTTGCAAATACAAGTCACTTGATAAAAATGACCTCAAAACTTTTTCTTTTATTTTTCTGTGCTATCTTCTCAGCTCCCAACCATGTCATCTTAACTAACAGAATTGCAGCCCGCTGGTACTTTTTTCCTTCTGCATCAGTTTCGATTCCTTTTTATATACTTGCGTTTATCTAGGTGTCACATTCTCTCTAAATGATAGATTGTAATCTTAGCCATAGGAAAAAAAGGAAACTTAGAAAATGGATGGATCTGATTTTAAGAGATGTAGGCTAAGCATGTGACATCTACAGAGAAATGAGCCTCTAGTGAGTGCTAGCATTATATGTGTTTTATATTAACCCTTGGCTCCATGCTCATAAAAATATTTTGTAAGAAATTTCTTCGTGCATTTTATAAAATTATTTTAAAAGTCCTTCCTCCTCAAGTCTTTGAGGATAATTCAAAACCTCTGGAAGTTTTAAGGTCAGGAATATGAATTTTATTCTCAAATACAGTTAATCTCTTACTTTAACTACATGTAAATTGGTCACCTATTCAATCTTTTTTTATATATTGCGAATTTACTAATGTCATATGAAGGAAATATTTAGCAATGTGAATGAAAAATGAATAAAACTTTCATAGAACCTATAGTCTAATAGAGGATGCAGGGAAGTAAAGAGACAATTATAACACCATGTGACAGACCTTAACCAAAGGGGTGTAGAAACAGTGCTAGCGGGAATAAAGTTGTGGTTTCTGTAAAGCAGGGACTGCGCTGAAAACATATTTTGGTTTTGTTAAAAAGAGCATATCTGTTCATTGCGTTGAAGTTCTGTGCATAGACAGATGATTCTAGGATCCTCATTCAATAAATCTGGAAGGCGTCATGCTTTCCAGTTCTTATTGACAGTGTGTAAAACAGATTTTAAAAACAGCTGAATCTAGAGGGGGAATGCAGGGCAAATCCAATTACTTAAATGACTTCTCTACCCCAGTGAAGTTTAAAGAACCATATTTAGAAGAAGAATCTAACTTCACATGAACCGATTAAGTTTTACAAGAGCTTGAAAGGGAAATGGTTTGGGGCATGCATGAGAGAAGTTGGGGAAAATGACAAATTCTGCGGAAGCAGATTTCCTAGTGTAGTTTTATTTTCAGTTTTGTAATGGAGTTTCAGAGTCTCACTCTCACATTTTAGTTATAACTGTTAACACAGAAACCTGTTTAATAGTTATATAAAATATTCTTAATAGTATTAACAGTGCAGTTCCTTCATTATTTGAGCAGGTAATTGAAAGGGGATTGTTTTGCAATGAGAACCTTCTATAGAATACCATCAGTATCACTGTTTTACCTGCCTTATGTGTAATAATTCATTTAACCTTGTAACTTCGTTAGTAAGTTCAGACAAATATTATCTCTATTTTATGGATAGAAAAAATGAGGTCAGAGAAAGTATTTTCCCAATGTCACACACCTGGTAAGTGGTGAAAATTAGGCGAGCGGCGCGCTCTCGCCCCGGGAGGGAGTCACAGGTTCGCACACGCGAGGCGGGGCGCGCGCAGGCGGCACGCGGGTGAAAGTCCTCCCAGGCGCTGCAGGCGGTGCCGAGGCACAAGCTTTGCTGCAGGAGTAGCGGCCCGCACTCGCTCCAGCGCCCGCCGCGGTCAGCGGCTCCCGTGTCGCGAGTGTCCACCCGCGCACTGAGGAAGCCCACCAGCCCTCGCCAGCCTTGGCGGAGCGCGCTATGGCCCCGCGTAAGAATGCCAAGGGCAGCGGCAACAGCAGCAGCAGCGGCGGCTCCGGCAGCGGTAGCACGAGCTGGCAGCAGCGGGGGCAGCAGCAGCCCCGGGTCCCGGAGAGAGACAAAGCACGGAGGACACAAGAATGGGAAGAAAGGAGGACTCTCGGGAACTTCATTCTTCACGTGGTTTATGGTGATTGCATTGCTGGGTGTCTGGACGTCTGTAGCTGTGGTTTGGTTTGATCTTGTTGACTATGAAGAAGTTCTAGGAAAACTAGGAGTCTATGATGCTGATGGTGATGGAGATTTTGATGTGGATGATGCCAAAGTTTTATTAGAAGGATCCAGTGGGGTAGCCAAGAGAAAAACTAAGGCTAAAGAGAAGCAAATTAAACATTAAAGACTGAAGTTCTAAAAAGCAGTGTGCAGACCAAAACAAGCATTGCACATGCGTTATACTCTTGCAATGCCAGCATCTATGTTACTATCCAAACAGCATTGAAATAGAATGAAGACTCAGAGCATGACCCTGAATGAATACTATTCTGTATTCTTAGAAGACTTTAATAAGATTTTTTAAGGAAGAACTGAAGAATCTCCTGGTTGATCAGCAGGAAATTCAATTAATGGAGAAAGCCTATGTGATATTTTAATCTGTTAATCAAGATTTTATTAGACAGCCTAGAAAGGTAGAGTACTTTTAGTAAGTACTGCACATTTGATGCTCATTTTGAACACCATTTGTGCTATATAAGTTTTACATGATTTTGATGGGCAAAAACATCTTCCACATTTTATTAAAGAAATATTTCATTTTCTTTGTTTCTGCTTAAATGTGGTAAACGCCTTATGATTTCCTCATGAGAGTTCAAACAGATGAAATTCAGAGCGTTTGCTAACTGCTTTATTAAACTTTACATAAAGCAAGTTGAAAGCAATACCTTCCGTGAGATTTGGAATTAGCTGTGTGTTTCATTTAATTGCTCTGACAACCCTATGAACATAGAAGACGTGTGTTAGCTTGAGTGGCTCTACATAAATTAACAGGGAAACATACTTAAAGGAATACTGATTTCATGATACCTAAAAACAAAAAGGCAATTCTAATTTGTCCTTTATACTATAGATAATGATTTAAAAATTTCATATACATGACAATTTTTTGCCTAGTAAACTAAGAAAATGAAATTATATTTAATATTATTTACATACATTTGTCTTCAAAGAAGCACATGTATTTTAAGGAGATACTTTTTTGTTTGAGCTAAACATTTTAAATTATCTTTGTGTGTGTTTTTACAAATTATGAAAAATTTGTTCTTAAGTTGCCAGTGTTCCTTTAATTATGTCATTATAGTTATGAAGTGTGAGTTAATACTTTGTGTAAAGTACTGCCTTCATGGTGCACTCGGTTTTATAATAGTGCATGCTAATGTTGTTTTAAGGCAAGTCATACTGTATTTCAAGATGGAAAAGTTGACAAGCTTCCAGCATTGTTTAATAGTTGATATTTTATAGAGGTTTGCATCTATTTTTAACCGCTATAAAGACTAGTGAATTAAAGTAACTTTCTGAATGTGGATTTCCTGTGTGTGAAGAGATAAAAAGAGAATACCTTTTCACTAACTTCTTGTTCTGTGATTAAGAGATCCTGTCAATAAACCTTTTTTCCTTTAATTGGAAAATCTGAAAGTTAAAGAACTCACTAAAGAGGAGCTCAAGAAGGAAAAAGGGAAACCTGATTCAAGGAAGGAAAGTAAGAACGAAGAGAGAAAAAAGGGGAAGAAAGAAAAAGAGGATGACGGAAAGGATAAGAAAATTGCTGATGCAGACCTGTCCAGGAAGGAGTCTCCCAAGGGTAAAAAGGACAGAGAAAAAGAGAAAGTGGACCTAGAAAAAAGTGCGAAAACCAAGGAAAATAGGAAAAAATCAACAAATATAAAAGGTGTTTCTAGCAAAATGGCATCCAGAGACAGAGATGACAGAAAGGAAAGTAGAAGCTCTACCAGATACGCACACTTAACAAAGGGAAATAACCAGAAAAGAAACTCCTAAAGCTCTGGCATCATCATCCCAGAACATGGTCGTGTTCCAGATGACAATTTGTTATGGAAAAGCATGGAAAATGTATTATTGCTCTGGTTGGTGAAGGTGTGTAAATTAGCCATTGAATGTATTATTGGTGCTGAGCAAGTAAATTATCCGAAATTTAAATATACAGTCTCATGCTTCTAAACATAAAAACATTTTAAAAATATGTCATAGAATATGATGTAATAACTTCTATTTATTGATCATGTAGTCAGGCAAATGTATATGTATCATGAATTTTTATGTATTGAATACTTCCATTGACATTAAATAAGAATATTAAGATTTTAAATATTATTTCTGTGCAGAATACCTTGTAACTTTTTCAAGTGTGCTAAATACTCAGGGAGATAGGATTTGCCCTTTGTTTTCTCCTTCCTTCCCCTTCCTGCTTCCCTGTTTTTTATGGACACCTCCCCAGGCTCATGTGCCACCTCCTTCCCTGAGTTCCTCCCTTCCTAGCCTTTCAGGCTTTTCATAGGTTCACCTTTCTCTTTTCCCTCTTCTCTCCCCTTTTCTAGTTAACCTTCCCAAGTCTTTTACTCTCTCATTTTCTTCGCACCTCACCCCTGCCCCTCACTCCTGCATACTTCTCCCTCTCCTGACCTCCCTACAACCACCCCACCTTTCTGTCATCCAACACATACTTAGTGCTTAGCGTGTGCCACATACACTGCTCGGGGAACTCTGGCCATAGCCATGAATAAAAGGGAGAATTGTATTCAGAAGAAAAATCCCTGAACAGTGTTATTTATGATACCTTTGTACTTAGACTAACTATAGAAAAGTTTTAATTATTTCAGATTAGGATACACTTTCATTTTATATCACAGTTTTTCCATTATTTTGATAGAATGGCATACATTTTTCATATTTGATTGTGTCATTACCATTTCTAAGGAATTGCAAATGTAATCTAACTAGAGGTCAGAATTTAACATCTTAGAAAATATTTAATAAAGTGAAGTTTTAGTGAGAAAAAAAAAAAAAAGAAAATTAGGCGAGCTCTTTAAAGAGTCACTTGTCAATCTCAAATTC